TCAAGCTTTCGCCTCCATTCTGTGATTGGGGTGGCCGAGGTCCTGGGCTAAGATTCTGGAAGCCTGGGCTTTCCGAGGGTCTTACAACGCCACCACTCAGTACTCAACTAACAGCAACAGCCACTGCATTTGCAAGTGTGATGCACAAATAAATCTAGGCCCTGCACTCAGAGATGCATGCATCTTTTTTATTAAACTTCCCTGAGAACTGTACAGAATAAGAGTGCTATTCATATACACAGAAGGACAGGCTGCCTTCACCAAGGGAACTCAGCTAATCATGCCCAGGACTAAGAAGCTCAGACATAGAGATGGAGTTTGTATAGTCAGTCTCCACCCTGCACCTCCTCCCAGGACAACATTCTGACTCTGAGCTGATAGCTAACTCTCACTGGCGGGGCTGGGGCAGAGAAGGGTTCGGGGATTCATAGTGTGAATTCACACTCATCTACCAGTCTTCCTCCATCCCTCCTCTGACTTCTGGACTCTGTGGTGTTCCAGGAGCCATCAGCACCTGCTTCCTGCTGCCTTTGTGTGTCAGATTCAGTCATGGACCCTGATGGTTAGAAGGCTGTTGTCAGTCCAACAGTTTGGGCCACTGTTGTCCCTCAGATTGGGGCTGGCTTGTCTGAGGTCTCTGAGCCCATGTAGTCGTTTCCTTTGGGGTCCTCAGCATCACTCTCAGTCTTAGAGCTCGCTTCTCTTCCTTTGGGTCCCTCCATCTATGGCTTCTTCCTCCCATCTTTCTCCTCCTCCTCTGCCCCTTAATCCTCTGCTGCCTCTGCAATGACCTTGGAGGTCTCCTGAGAAAGGCCAATAAGAGATGGCCAATTCCCGTGTAAAGAAATGGAGGTGCCTACAAATGTACATACCACCAAAAATGCCCTTGATATAAAGGACCTTAAAGTACCCAGAGGGCTTCTCAGTTCTACCAAAGTCAAACTCCCATCAGCCTCTGTGCTCACTGCTGGTCGCCAGCACAGTCACAAGGAAGAAAACACAGTTCCCTGCTGAGAACATGTCTGCAGTTCTTCTGGCTCCCTTCTCTTTCATTTGCCTAAGATCTGTGCTTGTCTTTGATAAGACCATGGCTGGGGTGGGAAGGGTGAGGCTCAACAATGACAAGGGTTAAGCCAAAGCAGCCTTGAACTCTACATGCAACAGAAGATGACGTTGGAACTCCCAGACTCCTGCCTCCACCTCTGGAGTGCCAGGGTTACAAACATGCACAACCAAGCCTAATGTACATGACTCTGGAAGCAACCTACACCTCAGCCACAGATACATCCGAGACAGGCCCTCACAATGTACACAGGGCTGGCCTTGAACTCATGACCATCTTGCCTCACCTTCTGCATTCTGAGAGGATGCTGGTACACCAGTCATACACAACTGACAAAGGGAATGAATTCACACGTTGAGATTTCTGAAGAGAAGTGACCACCGTGGTCTGAACATGTTCCTGAGTTATTTTGGACACGGCATACCTCACATTTCTTTCCATGCCTTTGTATTTCTGTCTCTTTCCATCTCTGTCCGTACCTCATCCTCCCCCTACTGTGTGTGTGTGTGTGTGTGTGTGTGTGTGTGTGTGTGTGAGTGCGTGTGTGTGTGTGTGTGTGTGTGTGTGTGTGTGTGTGGGTGTGGC